ACATACTTGTTATCTAGATACGTATGTTTAAATACTAAAGCGAAACCGACCTTAGGCATTAAGAATTCACAAACGTGGGTATTTAGGACTTTCTAAGAATATACTAAAGAAAATAGAGGTGAAGTAATTACTAAATACTTAATTATTTAAGTATTTGGGGTCGTAAAGTATTTAGTATATTTCTTAAATCTAATGGTTCAGGAAAAGAAAGAATGATCGCGTCTTCGTGTTTTCTTTTTCTGAATTATTGTAGGAATAGGGGTTCTCGGGACTCCTCGTGTTAAACTTTTCGGGATTATTCCGGACTCTTCGAGATTAAGGCTCCACTATTGGGTGCGCCTGCAATCTGGCGTCTGTGCAGAAGTAAGCGGGTTGCCACATAAATGTGGGAGCATTAAAAATTAACCCAGGATCGGGTTGTGTGCCAGATTTGTGACCTGCAGCGTTAACAATCATCCAATGCCAATGAAGATAAATACTCGCACAAGACACTCTTCCTTCGCCAGTGACCACGGCCAATTTTTAAAGCACTGTGGGTTAAGGGATAAAGATGCCGGCTTGGAGAATATGAACCCGAGCCCTGAGCTGCTGTCAGGTTTCAGATAGGTCAATAACATCGACAGGCTATAAATTCAACGGGGAATAATTCCTGCCAAAAAGTGATACTTTGGAATACGTAGTCAATTGGGAAATATATACCATATTACAATCTTCTTAAGATATCTTTAGGTTGAACATTTTGAGGTATCTGAAAAGTGTTGCCGCCTGTTTAAAATGGTATCTCATATTATTTAATAAGTTAAATGAATTACTAAAAGATTGGTATTCGAAATGGGTTTTTGGAAATGCTTATTTTTTTTTAAACTATATTCGGAAGGATTTCCACCTATTTGAAAAATAAAATTCAAGTTAATTCATCAATTAATTGAAGTTTGTATTGCAATATTTATCAGACAAAAGAGATTTAAGGAGACTTATATTAAAAAATACTTTACTTACTTAATACTTTTAAAGTAGAATTTAGTTAATTTATATAAGGCGGCCGCTGTGGCGCAATGGTGAGCAGTGCGCGCTACCATTCTGCAGGGCACTAGGTTCAAACCTGGCTAATTTTACTCAACTTCGGTGAAAAAAAAAATTCATAACTCAAATTATTGTAGAGTGCACCCCATAAGATTATACTTAAATATTGCGCAATACTCAGAGCTACCATTGTGATTTTTTCCAATTTTTTTTGAAATGGTATATTTTCAAAAACTAATTTTTTTTTATCAAAAAATTTGTATGTGTGATTTTATCGATAAAAACGTTTTAATTGCGTATGCATGTTCACTTTGAGCAAATTGTGACAACTGGTTGGGGTAATCTTCGGTAGATTGGGCAAATCGCTAATTGGGCCCAATTGGGCCAAAATTAGAGCCCAATTGGGAACAACTTTTGGCTCTGATCGGGCAACCTCAAAAAATTTCCAGCAAGGAAATTTTGTCATAATGGGCAACAATTTTTGTGCCCTCAACTGGCACGAAAATCTGCTAGCATCATATAAGTGCATTTTCAGAAAAAAAATCATAACTCGAAAATGACGAATTTTAGCATATTGCTACTCGTACTGAAAGTAGTTTATACTATTCCCCAATAGACAAAAAAGTTTGAGAGAAAAAAAAGATGTGGCAATTTGAAAAAAATCAATTTGAAAAAAAAAAATTTTTTTGTTTATAAACAATAATTAATTATTAATAAACAATTACTGATGTTTAGTTCACTAGATCGATTCAGTAGATCAATATCTACAATTGAAAAAAAAAAATCGTTAAAATCCTTGCTTTTTTGCGGCAGTTATAAACGATTTCATCAAAAGTTGCTATTAAGAGAGGAAAAAAGAAGCGTTCGTACTCAAAAAGAAAAAAATTCATTATTCGAAAAATTCGCATTTCTGAGCAAAAAGAAAAAATACGTGTCTCCTTAAATTGTTCAAGGAACCATCCCTGTGAGTTTTATCGCAAACTTAAATTCACTTTCCGCCGGCCTGGGTGATTTGAGATGGAATGAGCCATATACCTTAGTATAAGCACTTACCATAGATATGTCTGCATACCTTATTTCAACTAGATGTGACTTATGGTTCCGAAGTTATAACTGGTAAAATATTCCTCGCCTTTGGGACTTGCCGCCCCCTTTCACAGTCTCATTTATATATATACCTTATAAAGGTCTGCATCGGAATTCAGTTTGCTTCACTGTGAAGTTTTTTTCTAATATGTAAACTACTCATACTTTAACAAAGAGGGCATGGAAGGAAGAGAAGTGAAAATTTTGAGCACTGTATACATGAAAAAAGTACTCAAACAAAATATGTTCCGAAAAAAAGAAAAACATAAACAAGCAGTACTATGGTGTTAAACTTCCACAAAAAATGTGTTCCTTCACAAGTATTTTTTGAGTATTTTTGGAAGTTTTCGTTTAATAAATACTACATAATGTTAACAGACATGGAAAAACAATGTAGGGAATTATCAAGGCTAATACCCAGCTAGCCCAATGCCGAGCGAGACACAAAAGGGACTCCCACAGCAACACCTCGAAGGAGCGTTTTAAAATATGGGATGAATAAGCATTCCATATGGGTTATCTGCGGATGACCTGTTAAAGAAGAAACGTTATTTTTTACCAAACTGCTTCACCGATCATAACCAAATTGCGATGTACATATCAGATATAATTTTAAAAGATCTGCAGTTCTCAATTGCCCACTGTGTTACAACGCGTACACATTTTTTTTGGACTCGTTATCTACTACTACTACTAGAAATGAGATAGCATTTGTGCTTCAACAAATTTGACGTACTTTTGTCGTTGAGTTTTAGAACGCTGTTACACCTTTTGCATGCCACAATATTGTCGATTTCTTGTTCGTCTTCATTTTGAATTCCTGCGTAAAACTCCCACACCCTGCTTCTACCTTGCCTTTGTACCAATTTATATTCTCCGTTTGAAATTTTTGTTTTAATTTGCGCATTGGTGGGATTTTGGATGGTTGGCTTTCAGTTTCCATTGCTGATGCTAAATTTAATAGTGATAGCTTAATAACACAGGTTTAGAAAAAAAGTGTATGCATATTAAACCAAACCTATATATATCTCTATGTTATTTGACACGCTGAATGCGAATCCGAAACCCGTTAGCCCCCACCACGTCAATTTGTGGTCAGTTGAAGGCCAAGTAGGGAAAAATTCATTGAATAAACCTGGAAGTTCAATAAATTTGTATAGATGACCTTGAGGAATCAAGGGACCCCCATATTCGGATTCAGCGACAACTAAAACAAAAAAACATTATTTTAATTGAATACATTTTTTGTCCTATTTGACCCTCAACTGACCTCGAACCTGACACTATGGAGGTTAACGGACCTCTGATTCGGGTTCTAAAACCCCACATATATGAATTTTCAGGTTTATTCAATGCATTTTTCCCTGCTTGACGTTCAACTGAGCACGAACCTGACGTGATAGAGGCTAACGGACCTCGGATTCGCATTCAGCCCGTCGAATAACATAGGGATATATAGGTTTGGTTTAATATGCATACACTTTTTTTTGTAAACCTGTGTAATTTTTATCAATATTTGTTTATAATTAAAACATGTTTCTTTTATATTTTACTAACGTCTTTAAGATAAATTTTCTGCGGATCACACGAACGAGGGTTCAAATAATACACAATGTAAAATGTTAGCTAAACCCTAACGGCCATATTATTGACACTCCGAATTTGCCGGAATAAGAATATTTACGGAATAGAGGAGAATTAGTTGGAATAAGTGTATTATTGACGCATAGAATAAAATGGAATAAGGTGTAATAAGAAAGTCAGAATTGTTATTCCGGGGAATAACTAAGCGGGCAGAATCGAATGTTTCGTCGCCAAGTGAACACACACACCAATCACTTGCCTTGATTAGAAAAGGGAGGATAATTTCATTTAATTCATTTATTTTTTGCAATGAATAACATTTTTTTGTTTTAAAAACATTAAACAAGAAAAACTAGTTAAATAAAACCTGTACTTATAAAAAAAAATAAATAACACACTGTTGCGCGAAACTATACTGAGTGTTCTATGTCGTCATAAAAGCTCGAAACTTCAAGCTCCTCCTGGGCGATTTTTTCAGATTCTTGTGCATTCATCGGTTTGTGCGTCTTTAAGTATAGGTTGTGACGCTCCTGCGCTTCTTGTTCCCGCTTAGCGAAGTATTGCATTACTTGCTTCTGAGCAGTTTTTTGTAGCATAACCGCTTCCATATTAGCAGTATGTAACTCGATGGCATGGCGCATGTTTGTTGCGTGGAGTTCGCGTGACTGCGTTAATTCAAGATTTATAAGCTGCTGGCGCATTTCATTTTCAGCATTATTTGGGTCACGGAATCTGCGTTTCCGTGCTTGCCGCTGTTGTGCAACTGTTGCAAAATATTGTCGCGGTTCTACTGCCGATGCTTCCTTGGGCAACGGCGAGCTGGTGGAGACGATTAAAGGACTGGAGAAGTTACAGCTGTCAATATGGTCGATGACGGCTTCGCTGTAGATGAAACGAATTACTGAAATTATTCGATCCAATTAATATAATATGTACATGTACGTATGTATGCTCCTACAAACATATGTATATTTGTACACTCAGAGAAAAATGGCATTGTAAAAACAAAAATAAAATCTTTATTTTTCTTATGCACGTTTTAAACGAGGCCATTTTCATTTTAAAAATGAAAAATTTTAAAACAAAGCTAAATATTTTTAAATTTAAAATGTTATTTTTAAAATAAAAATGTATTTTAGATTTTAAAATGTTTCATATGTGATTTAAAAATGCTGCATTTTCAATTTTAATACGCACATATTTGTTTTATAAATGTCATGAGTTTACAACTTTCAATACTTAAATCAAAAATGAAAAGCTTTACTTCCAATAGAAACGTCTTCATTTTAAGCATGCTCATAATTAAATGTATGGCCACGCTCATGCATGTGCAAGAAGAAGCAGTTGGCTGAGTCCAGTTATTCTTGTTTGCTGTCGGTTCGGACCGAAAAAGTAATTTCGTGTATTTCCTTTGATATTTTGTGAACAAAATGAATAACTCGTTGCAAATTGGAGATTATATTTATAATTTCGATAACGTTGAATCAGAAGAAGTGTGTGAAAATTTAGAAGGAGTGGTTGTTGCTACCACACCAGTTGTTGACAATGACGATGAGGAGAAGATGGTCGAGCTGCTAAAAGAATTCGAAATGGAGAATGTTTTGCCATTCCTAAAAGGTGAGAAACGACTTAATAAATTAATATTTTAATCAACTAAATTAATTCTCTATTATTATATCCGACCGCGATCTGCAGCTTCGCAGATAACTTTTAGAAGCCTTAAATTTCTTAGAGGTGCTGACCTAAAGGAAGCCATTCCGCCGCTGGGTCTACGTGTTGAGTTTAGAGAGAAATTATTCATGTGGAAGAAGAAAGAGGTATGTATATGTTATAAAACAAACTGCTTTAGGTCTCATAGTTTATTTTGCACATACATAGTTCGGAATAGATGATGAAACCATGTCAATGCCAAGCAAAGTAACTGAATGGTTACAAAAAAACAACTTTATGCCATCAAGTCAGTCATCTTCTTCGCCCCACTGTCTCAGTAAAGTAATTTCAATTAATTTTATTTTAAACTAAATTACATTATAATTATGTAAATATTACTTGAACAAGGATTTACCGAGTTTACTTCAACAAACGTGCAAGGGGAAACTAATCTTGGAATCCTACAAAAAGAACCAACATTTGACTAACGGGAACCGGGACGACCTCATAAGCATTGTCATTGACGAAGTTATTGCAAATGACATTATACTAAGAGGGAATGATTTTGTGAATTTGCTAGAGCAGATAATAAATCTCTTTCCAAACGAAAAGGGTGCCCGGGTAATCTATTTATTATGAAATTGTTAAAATATAGATACATTTTATTGTACTGCTTATTTTCCCCCCAAGGAATACTATTATATTCCGCGCAAGGGTAAAAAATGCCCTAGTGGAAAGCTGTACGGGAAATACGTCAATCAACGCAGTAAGAAAAGGAAGACAATATACCTTGAACAAAACACACCATCACCTGCTAGTACTAAGACTAATCCTTCCACGAAAAATTACGAAGTTCTTGAAATTGATTTTACGATATGTAGAGCATTAAAAGCATCTCTCAGCAGAAGCATTGCCGATTGGAATGAAGTCAGAGATAAATGGCAAAAGACATTTAATTTGCGACAGAATGACTTAAAGGAACTGACCAACATTGATTTTCTCCAAGCCTGGCCCAAATATTCTGATTCGCGGGCTCCTGACTTGGTAACAATGAAATTACGTACTTAGCTCGCAGTTTTACTATACATTTACACATTACAGATAAAACTTGACTTCAATATCATGTACCCTGACAAGGAGGATTGTTTGTATTCGAAATGGGAAATGTTTACGGAAAAGATTCAACGATTTTATGAAACTAATCTACACAACGATTTCTGCAAACAGCTCTTTTCTCTTGCTAAAGCTTCAACGAACAAAGGTAAATACAGATCAAGTGTAACAAAAAACTCCAAAATCAATCGGCTTTCGTTAATTTCTTAAATTTTGTTTAAAGATACGCAAGACTACATTCTTACAACGCTGCTGAATGGAGTTCTTCCACCTTCATCAAGATTTCAAAGTTCCTGCGGAAAGCTAAGAAAGAAAGCAACAATAGCAGACTCGCAACAAAGCTTTGTTTTACGATTAACTTCAATCAACGATTACGAAAGGAAAATTACTGAGTTGATAAGTATGTACTATTCTGCAGGAATGACAATACAGCCTTTTATAATTGTGGAAGGAGTAGCTGAGGGTGATATAACAGGATTTTATATATATTTTGATAAAACATTGTATAAATTTGAGTCGTTTCTAGAATGCCTAGATATCTGTTTCAAAATCTTTCACACTCTTTGCCTAAAATATCCTCAGGCATGCGAAACTTCATGGGTTTTTTTACAACAGTTTTTTTTTGAAATTTATACTGAATATGACTGCAAGTCGGCAAATTTAACGTCTCTTTTGAATTTTATGACATATAAATAATTGCTTTAAAATGTTTATTTGCTTCAAGTGCCACAAAAAATTTGCAGAAATTGATACCTTAATATGTCATTTTAAAGTAGATCATAAGCTTAAATATTTCTAAGTTTACAAGTCAACCGTTTCTTTTATATTCTATAAATAATGGAAAAACATACGCAAAACCAAAATCTCTGTAAATATTGTATTTATTATGTATTTATTTTGTAACAAAATAATAGACACTCGGCTTTTTGGCAAGTTTTGACTATTCTGTTGTTTGACTAATATTCATTTATTTTTTTATAAAGGCTCATCCATAACAAAAACCATATAAATCCGAATTTAAACTTTGTACAAAAATTAGGAAAATTCAACAAAAACTCATTAAAATTTTCAACTTTTTAATAAGAGTTGCTAGAAAGACTTTTAGTATGCTAAATTTTAGTACAATAGAATTTTTCAGCAAATTCAGGCTTGCACATATTATATTAAAATTTAAAAGGCTATAAAAATGCATGCTAAACATTTTTCTGAAACTCTTATTAAAAAGTTGCAAATTTTCCTGAATTTTGTAAAAAGTTTTAAATTTGGCCATTTAACTTTTGCTATATGATTAGCTACAACTTTATAAAAAATAAATGAATATTACTCACACAACAGAATAATCAAAAGTGGTCAAAATGTCGAGTGTCTATTATTTTGACATAAGGAGGGCCGTAAATCCACTTTTTTTAAGACTTTTAATGGTTAATAGCAAAAATCTGTGCGAAAGATGAAAGGTTGCGGTCAATATCTTGGGTCGCACAATAAGAAAAAGCTGTTTTTCGGCCCACCCCATGTATATGACCGTTTTTATAGGATTATTTTAGATTTAAGTTTTTATTTCTCATAATAAGTGTGTACCTACAAAATGTAATGCAAATTTGTACCTTGACTAATAATTTTTGTATGGCTTAAAAAAGGTGAATAAATAAAGAGTGGTGAATATAAAAAAACTAAAATGTTTCATTATTAAAACGAATACACACAGTCTTAATTTAACAATATAGGTATTTGATTTGATGTGAATCATATTTGAATTAAATATGAATATTTTTAAATCAAGCACATTTGTTATTTGAATTAACAAAAATCAAGCTTAAATCAAAAATGAAAATTGTTATATTAAAAATGAAAGTTTTCGATTCAAAATTTTATAGTGTTTAAAATAACGATGAAAAATATTTAAATCAAATATGTTTTTGCTTGATTTTACAATGTTATAACGCACATTTTTAAAGTAAAATTTTTCATATTTACGTCACTTTTAAATACGCTTTTGCTTCGTTTAAGCACGTTTTCATTGATTTTACAATGTTTTTTCCCTGAGTGTACCTGTGATATTCACAATTTCGACCTCCTCTAACGTCGTGTTTTGAACACCCAATACATCTTTGTTTTGAACATACAATGGGGTATGTGTATCATCCGGCATTTGTGTTTCGGGCAATGCTTCCGTATTCAGCAGTGAGTGCTCTTTACTGGTTGCCGAACTTCCATAAATTACCATATGTCAAATTCAGAATGGAGGCCACAGAAGCGATCACGCAGAATCGCAAGCAATTCTAGCATGGCTCCAGTGAGAGGAACGGTTAAAGACACTGGCATGGGTTTCGCAAGTCCGCCACCAGTTCCCATTGAAACTTGCCGCTGCCATGTCGAATATGTCTGCAAATACTGCTTTATTTGCTTGAACCGATTCTGCAGATGTAGTGGTTCGCGAACAATTCCCTGAAAGAAAAAAATATTTAACACCATTTAAAATAAATTTTAAATAATGAAAAAATAACAACCGTAGAAGCGCGCTCGGCGTTCAATATATTCGCGATTTTCCGATACTCCTGGGCCCGTTGCTCCGGCGTGCAACCGTTTGTCGCCTGATTTAAAATGCCATCGCGACCGACATCAACAAGTGCGCGCACAAAGCGCAACGTCTCCTCCGCCGACCAATTCGCAGATCTCCGTGCT